AAGCTTACAGGTTGATTCTGCTCTCTGTAGTACTAGCGATAAAGAAAGTTATTGCTTTGGATTTATCTGCTAACATTTGAATCTGTGGTCAGTCTCTGAGTGACTTCAAACTTAATATTTAGCCATTCAGGTGTGGGGGGGAGACTTTGATCCAATTTCAGCTGATGCAGCTTGACGGCTCAAATGTCAGGAGAAAATTCCAGTTTGCGGCCCATCTGTGTTGGCGGCTCCTGTGTGGTTCCCTCTGAAGAACGGAAGGGCGGGGATGAACCCATGGCTTCCCCTTACAAGTGCTGTGGCATCTGTAAGTCTGTGAGCTCAGAGAGAGCCTATGGCTGGACGGCTGTGTGCAGGAGAAGGCATTTGCCTTTGAGGAGAATGGCTGGTGACGGTGTTAAATGTAACTGCTGTATTCTACCGCTCACTCCCCTCTCCCCGCTCCATCTGTTTCTCAACTCTAACTCTGCCAGCAATCTATTCTTACTTCCACTTTCCAGTAAGTTCCTCAAGGCACAAGTGGTATAAAGGCCTCACTCCTAGGGAGAGGAGGCCACCCACCCAGGAATCAGCACCCATGATAAACGTGCCACATTGTGAGAAGGTGGGAAAGGAAAGTTGTGGGGGTGGGGTGGGGGGTTTCAGTGACTCACGGCTTCCACCAGCATCCTGCAAAACCCGCAGCTGCTCTGGGAAGCTCTCCCTGCTCTAATCAAAGTGCTGCCGACACACATCACCTGCCCCTTTAAAACCCTCCCTTTGCCCGAAACTCATCCAGGACCCACCATGGTCAGCAGGTCCTCCTTGGAGATTACCCATGTCTCTGCCAGTCAGTCCCACTCTGGCCAGCCACCCAGTCCAGCCGTGGCCATCTGCCTTTGTGACCAAGCTGGGTGCTCTCAACAAGAGCTGTCACACTTTACTATTATTTCAAACAATTTAATTAGGAATTATCCACATCACAAGCTTTTGATAATACAGGCTTCTATCTCTGGGATGTCTTTATCTTTTTTCTTTCTGCTCATTCTTTCAACATTTATTGGGCTCTTATTCTGGGCCGGGCACCAGGAAAGGGGTTTCGCAGTTGTCTAAGACTTAGGCCTTCTCAAAGAACTCAGAGTCCAATGGGAAATCCAGGTTGGTCATGGGTCACTGAATGCAGATATATTCTCAGAAATGCATCATTAGGCCACCTTGTCTTCATCGGGGGGACACCACTGAAAAAAACACAAACCTAGAGATTCCAGCCTATCACTCACCCGGGGTGCGATCCGTCACTGACTGAGCATCATTAAAATTAGACAAATGTATTACTTTACGCAATGTTACAGTGATTCATGCTGCGTTATGAGTGAAACGCAAAATCAGTGCATCTAGCAGGGGCAGGTATGATCTAGACAAGACAATACAGCCTAGAGGAAGTGACTTCTGTGTTGCATTGACAACATCACACTGACAAACAGGAGTTATGTAGCAAGCTGTAGAATGCAGGATGCTGCCAAAAAGGCAAGATCTTGGCCTTTCTGTTCTTAGAATCATCATACAGCATCAGTTGTGAGGGGGGAAGGAGGACAAAGAGAAATGGAGGGTGAAGCTAGGAAATGTGCTGCTGGCATCTGTAGTATTAGGGATTGTGCTTGTCAACTGCTTGATGACTCGGTATTGAGATTGAGACCAAGCCCAAGATCCCCAGCCAGAGTTGCAATCTTATTAAGGCATTCCACTGAACAGCTTCTGGGGTCCCTTGTCATACATCAGTCAATGCCCCCCCACCCCCCACCCCCGGCGTTCCCAGTCATACGTTATGATGCATACTCTTCCCTGGGTGATCAAGCTTTCTGCTTGATAGGTTTAGGCTCCTGTAACTGATTGGCTGGGAAGTTCTGGCCTTGTATAGGAATGCAGAACTGTAGACAACAAAAATGGTGGCCGAACAGGCAACTTAGGATAAGCAGACTCACACTTCTGAGCTACATCTTAAAGAGAAGGATGGGGTTAGCCAGGTGTGTCTGGAAGCTGAGGTGGGTTTCAGCAGAGGTGCTAACACAGGAGGAAAGGGACAGGTCAGACTGGGGAACTGTCAACACTTCTGTGTCACTTGAGATTTTGCATTTCAGAAAGGTCATTCAGGCAGGTCTGTGGAGGGTAGAGCTGAGGAACCACAGCTACCAGTAGAAAGACAATTTGCAGTTATTCAAGCAGGCAACAATGGGGGCCTGAACTAGAGAAGTGGTAGGAGAGATTGAAAGAAGAATGAGAAATTGACATGTGTTTCGGAGGTAAAATCAGCAGGACCTACCTGACAGCTGGTGTATGGGGGAGAGGCAAAAAAGCAAGAAAAAGCAAGAAAATGATGAGAGAATGTGCCCCAGTGCAAGTCAAGGCAATTGAAAAAATTAGGAGAGCACAGAAGTCAGTGGCTTTGTCAGAGGCCAAGAAGGGGGTGTGGTTGACCACATCAAGTGCTGTAAGAGGGCTCTTGAGATCAGGACAGGAAGCTGTCCAATAGGTTAAAAAGTAAATGTTCCTTGGTGACCTTGATGAGTTGAGATGGCTTTAGTGGTGCAAGACAAAATTGCCTGGTATGAGAAGTGAATTGAAAGAACAAAAGTGAATTCAGAAGAGAATCACTTTCACCTCCAGATACCACAGACAGAATACCTAGGGCCTAAAAGCTTTTCAAGCATCGAAAATTATGTTCGAGGTCTGAGAAATATTATGAGCTCCAAAATGCCAAGAGAAAACTGCAAAATTAAATTAAGATATGTTTAATTAAATATCTCCAAAATGTAACATTATTTCAACTTCATTAATTTTTAAATTTAATAGTCATAAAAACTTCATTGCATTTAGAAACAAATTTTTGGGTTAGATTTTTCTCATCTTCCAGCCATTCTTCGTATACACTGTGATGGCGGAGAAATCAGCCAATTACAAATTAACTATTTCTTTCTACTCAGACCAGAGACAAAATTTTTAAAATGCATTTAACATGCATTGTGAGCACATTTTCTTCAGTTTGCTGTTCTGTGAGCTGAACTTCCAAATATAAGCACTGAAGGGCTTTAGAATGTCTTGAAATAGCTCTGATACAGACAACCATGTCTAAAAGCTGGGCCTGGGAGGGAGGAGAGGCCTGTTTACTGCACAGAGTGAGAGAGAAGAAGGAGGTTTCTTTAAATTTCCCTTTAAGAAGTAGGAACTATGAGTGTCTGTCTGTGCTGAGGGTAAGAGCCAGTGGGAAGGAGAAAATTGGAGGAGGACAGGGGTGGAGGGCAGCTAGTGCCAAGATGACAGAATGGGACCTGGTGAGGAGACAAATACCTTCTGCTGAAACGCAGGGAAGCAGAGGTCCTTTGAGGAGTCTTAGTTCTACTTCCTATAGCAAGTAGAACTACCTCTGTTAGTAGGAAATGGTAGGAGAGTTTCATAATGCCTTATCGGTCACTTGGGACACCCCTGTACCTTAGCAGATGGATGCTAGTATTATCAGTCACTTCCCAGGACCGCCGGTTCTCCACCCCTAAACCCACGACTGGAGCACTGGCCTGCACACTCCAACTAGATCACTGGTGTATTCTCTCTCAGGGTCCTTTTTGCTTCCCCTGCCACACACATACACACCCAAGATTCTTATGAATCATGAGCTCCTGTGGTCAAAGCCTTCTCCCCAAAAGGTTCCAGGTTAGAGGAATAGGTGTTCAAATGATCTGCAAGCTCCTTCCTCCTAGAAGATAAAAATCTACTCCAAACCTCACAGCATTGAGTTTTTGAATAATCCCCCGCCTTTGTGATTCGAAACAGAGGCCCTCACATTTATACAGGTACTTGGGAATTGGCAGTCTGCACCTGCAGACTGCAGCACAGAGCTCATTGTGTGTGCCTCAGAGCTAGGCTGGCAGGCGGCTGGTGGAGACAGCGCTGTACTGCACTGTGTTATTTTACAAAGAAACCCCAAAACCAACAGACAGCCCTCAGAAGCTTTGTGAGGGGCATCCCAAGGCTTCTTGAAATAGCTAAGCAAGACTAGTTTCCCGACTTCCCAAGGTGCACAAAGAAGGCCAGATTTCTGGATTTCTGTGACACCACACGCTGCTTCTCATGGCAGCGCAGCTTACAAAACAAGCACTCCCGGTGCTATTGAGAGGACCCCAGGACTCGTTACACTCCATGTTTGGCACTGTGGAAATGAAACCACAAGTAACTACAAGTAGCTAAGGAAGACAAATAGTGGGTGAGTTCACGCCTATGTGGAATTGGGACAAACAAAACAAAGGAACTGACAGAGCTAAACCCAAGCAGGCCCTAGAAATGTGACTGCAGATGGAGGCTACAGATGGGGAGACTTGATGGGAGTAGGAACGAAGGAGAGAGGGGGCCCCAGTGTTCTTGGGTAATGGAGTGTGAGTGCTTTGATGGGGGTGGGGTGGGGTGGTGACACAGCTGAGGAGGTGCACCTGGTCCCCTAAATCATAGATGGGATTGTAAACCTATGCTAGCTCAATGGAAAAAGGGAAGGCCAATCGTAATAAAATAAAATTTAAAAAGAAAGAAAAGGTGTACCTTCTAGACGAGTGTTCTAGAAGTGTGTTGACACAGATGGGTAAACATAATTTTTCCCAGCTGTAGTTTGGTTAAAACAACTGCTTTATCACACAAACACTCTAGGAAGATGACTAAAATTTGTATGAAGCTGCTAGAACGTACAGGTGTCGGTGTCATGTCTCTCTAGGCTAAAACACATTTCGCCTGAACCCCATTCTTAAGATGGCTCTTGCCAATCACCCCCAGATACCCTTTGGGGGCATCTCACCATCTCCATTTGCAGGTAGACCCCCTCCACTGCCTTTGACTCCAGCTGCTGCTTTTTTTCCAAGAAATAATTCTAGCTTTCAAGGAATATGTGTCTAAAGCTTCTACAAGACTAACATTTCAACATTTCTGGTGAAACGATTACAGCTTCTAATCTTCACACTATTTTTTGTTAATTTTTCTTTTTCTAGGACTGGGAATGGAGAATATTGGTGGAATCTTCGTGGTTCTTATTTGTGGCTTAATTGTGGCCATTTTTATGGCTATGTTGGAGTTTTTATGGACTCTTCGACACTCAGAAGCTACTGAGGTAAGCCTGCAAGGGGATATAAACCAAAGTGTTGGTACACAGGGCAGAGCTCACGAGCTCAGGCACATACAAAGTCACTCCAGATAAATTGCCAGACAAGACAGGTCATTGTGGTGGGGAGAACCCTACTCTCTGGGACAGGAGACCTGGTCAAAGCCCCATCATACTAATAAACAGCCACAGAAAGGACACTTAGCTTCTGTGGGCTTCAGATTCTTCTATGGAGCAGTCTAGCAAATAAATATATGGAAAATGTTTTATAAACTAGAGCGTCTTATACAACTTAAGACATAATATGGTAAAAGAAAACTAGTGACAATATTGGGTTATTTCTAAGTGGAAATGATGGCTTTAGCTCTTCCATTTTAATGTTTTTGCCTTACATATAAAGATGCTTTGCTATATCCTAATTCATGTAAGCTTAAGAGTCAATCTTCTTTCTCAGGGATTTTAAATAATTTTCATTCCCAAACTGGTGGTCTAGAATCTGGGATAATATGAGCTGTGCACAGACGGAAGAGTCTGAGTAGAAGGAAGACATATCCTGGTCTTCTTCCATTCTATGTAAAAGAAGGCCCGAAGCCATCCATGCCCATTGTGTCATTAGATTTTTAAGTACGTTGACCTCTAGCTCTGTCTCCCAACTCTGGATCTTTCTAAACCTCCTTCCCTAATTGATGCTGGAGAGACAGCTCAAACATACCTAACTGGCCTGCCCTATGAATCCATGGAGTCCAGCCTCCCAGGGTCATGAGATACAATACTGCTTCAAGTTTTTTCTCTCCTGTGCTCAGTCTCTTCCCCATAGGATTTCCATGTCATCACCCACTCCTCATGCCCTTTGCCCTTTAGTGTGTAGAGTTTAATTTTACTTCCCACCTTATCAAGAAATCAGATGAAAACACCCACCTACAAATTTACCCATAGCTACAGCCATTCCTACAGCTCAGCAGACAGGCCTGCCTTCACCCCATCTTTCCTCAGCTACTCTGGGACAACCCTATGTCTCCCCTTTACCTCTTCCATCCCCTCTCACCAAAATCCCAAAAGATGCCCAAGCTTATTCCATGTTTTTAAATCATAGCAATATTACTGTTGCTCCCGCCCAGCTCTGCCCTCTCCCAAACCAAAGTGACATAACGCTTCCTCTCACCTCTCATTTAGTCCTCACTTCAAACAGTCTGGCTTCTCTCCACTGTCAAGAGATCTGACCTGTTCAGATCACTGTCAAGAGATCTGACCTGTTCCAATGGACAAACATTAGTGGGCCTTCCCGAACCTCAGTGTGCCCCTTGATGAAGCAGACAGTTCCTTCCATAAGCTCCTCCCTGTGTTGCCTGTTCCCTTCCTACTTCTCTCTCCAGCTTTCTTCCCTGTCTCCCTTTGTCTACTCCTTAAATAGTAATGCCACTTTGACACCTCCCCCAGTTCTCCTGCCTTCTCCATTTGACCAGTCAAGCTCACCTCTTCCCTTCTGCTACCATGATAGCCTAAGCACAGAGCACTTATTCACTGTGTGAATAAGATACAGACCTTTTTTGTATCCTTTTGGCTAATAGACGTTACATTGCTTTGAAGTAAGGACAAGGTCTTCTGTCTTTGCATTTCCACTACAAAGCCCAGTTCTTGGTAGCAGTTGACAGTCCATTAAGATAGGTTGTTATATTCTTGTCACAGGTTAAGACATCAGGCACATGCTGTGACTTGCCTACAGTTTCTGCTAACTCAGGCCTTAATCCTAGATCTGTCAGCTGCTTTACGTAGAGAATCTGTGGACGTTTGGTTATTCACCAAAGAGTTTATCCATTGTCTGGATAGACCTTGAAGAACTCAGCGAGGAATTATGGTACTCCCAAGAGCTGAAACAAAGATAAAGACTTGAGCTGGCTTGTTGATAGAACCGGAAGACTGGAAGAAAGAACAAGAAGAAAATAATAGGCTTCTCCATCATTTTCAGAGAAAGTGTCCTTTCCAAAAGAGCAGAGAGCTGCACACTCTTGAAGGAAGTATGTGTGGTTTCAAATACCAGTCAGCTATTTGTTAGCTGAGTAACTTGTAGCTGGATATGTAACTTCTCTGAGCCTCCCATTCCACATCTGTGAAATAAGTATAATAGTAGTAGCAGAAGTAGTAGTATAAATTCATGATTTTTAATCCCCAATTCTGTAGGAAACTCCAAGGTTTTTATAAGTTTGTTGTAAATACATAAAGCTTGGCATGAACTTGGGTGATGTCCCTCATTCAGTGCCAATTTGCATACATTTTGCTACAAATATTCATATCTGAATATCAGGTCTGCCGCAGATGCTCCTGGGTGTGATGATAATAGATCGTGTTACCTTTCTGGAATCCTAAATATTCTGAAACACAGCTGACCCCAAAGGTTTCCTATTAGGAGATTGTAGAGTGGGGATAGTGGTCGCTGGTGTTTTTGTTGTTACCAATGTTATTACTATGCATCCTTTCCAGCTCTCACCAGTTAATTAAAAGAAATGAGAATCTTTAGCCTGCACAAACTGTTGATGGAGACATGGTAGCATTTTCAAGCACTTAAAAGACTGAAATGCAAAAAAAGGCGTAGTTTATTTCCTACTCGTCAAGGTCCATATTTAACTGGGATCCGTGGATGAAATTTTCAGAAGAGGAATTGTCAGTAGAAGGACACAACATTGAACAGAAATATGCAAAAAAAAAAAAAAAAAAAGGCATGGCTCTTTTTCAATGCCCTGCAGTCATAGCCTCTGAAGGTGAAACACAAAAGATTGAGAGTGAAGTTGTAGGACAGTTGAACATTATTGTATGGGAAAGGATGAATTAAGTGAGGGAGGAGATGGGAGGAGATGGACTGAAAGGCCTTCCTGTAATCTTCATACCCAAGATGATATGATTCTGTGTCCGCAGCCCGTTCACCATTCCCCCTCTCTCACCCCCACAACCCCCTCCCCCCCACACACACACAACAGACTCAAGGGGTGCGGGGCTAGTTCTGAGAGGTTGACCTGTGACCCCCTCCTTTTCTGCAGGTGTCTGTCTGCCAGGAGATGGTGACGGAGCTGCGCAGCATCATCCTGTGTCAGGACAGTGCCCACCCGCGCCGGCGGCGCTCTGGGGTGCCGCCACCCCGACCCCCCATCCCTGAGGAACGCCGGCCCAGGGGCACGGTGACGCTCAGCAATGGCAAACTGTGCGGGGCCGGGGACCCGGATCAGCTGGCACAGAGACTGGCCCAGGAGGCCGCCCTGGTGGCCCGCGGCTGCACACACATCCGCGTCTGCCCAGAGTGCCGTCGGTTCCAGGGCCTGAGGGCGCGGCCTTCGCCGGCCCGCAGCGAAGAGAGCCTGGAGTGGGACAAGACCACCAACAGCAGCGAGCCCGAGTAGCACGGGCGGACAGGACACTTGGCGGCCAGGTGGGGGGGTGAGAGCGGCTGGGCAGGCGCCGCTGTCGGCCGGGAGCCCGGACTTGTACAGCGTCCACACTTCCCTGCGGATTTGGGACCCAGTAACTTGACAAAAAGATCAAAGAGCCTGACGCCCCAGCCAGAGACAGCGCCCCGTTCTGGGCCCTGTGCCCACCCAGAGACGTGGTGAAGGACGCTCTTCCTCCGGCCGCAAGGACCGATCTCCGAGCGGGCCATTCCCTCCAGCCAAAATAGCGGTCTGGGGCGGGTGGGGGCCCTGCCCCAGACAAGTGCAGTGAATTGGTGAAGTCATCAGCAGTACTTCCCCTAGGAGGGCGTCCTTGTACCCTGGGTCTAGTTCTTACAGGGAAAAAAAAATTAAACTCAACGGGGAAGCTTTTCTTTTCTGGATTCCTAGAGCTCTGTTGAATGTTCTTTTCTTTTGTTTTCACTTTTCTGCCCCCCTTTTCTTCTTCTTTGTTGTCTTTGCAATTCTATTCATTTTGTTCTGTTGTGTTGTGGGGGAGGGCGGGCCCTGGACTAGGGGATGAAAGTCTAAATAATCCCTGTTCCTTTTTCCTAAATTTTAGGGTACTGACCGCTGCCAGTGCATCAGATTTCAGGTGCTGAACTCTCTTTTATGTGCTGGCTGGGGGGCACCGGAAAAACATAAAAGGGTCTGGGGAAGAATGTGGTGGAGAGTTTCAAATAAAAATCCATTCAAGTAATTTTTTAAATGCCAAAAACCAATGAACTCAGAGACCTTGACATGCCTGGATCTTCAGGGGTGAACATGTCTTTCCCTTTCTCTTTCTGACTTTCACTATGGTTAGGTTGCAGTTGGCCTTTTGTGAATGTCATCACTGAAGAAGAAAGATGGGGAGGAGTGCAGAAGACACAAAGGATCCAGGGGCCCCGTTTAAGGAGGGGGGGGTCAATCCAGCTCCCCATACCATGGTCTTGGCGTCACACTGAACGTGCTGTCCACAGGGGAGTGGGGACGGGGCTTCCTGCGGGTGTGGTGCATACTTTATCACCTGCATCTCTTCTTAACCAAACTCAGTAGCTGCCTCTAAAGCCGGCCCTCCCCGACCCCCTACCCAAGGCTGTCACAGGTGATTTCTTGCTATTAGACGTGAAACTTGGGTGCAAGTATGTGTGTGTATGTATTTGTGTGTGTGTGCATATGTGTTTATTAAGTGGAAAAACCTTAAGTAAGTAAGAATTTGCCAGGTTCCTGGGCCAGAGAGGGAAAGTCTCATTGCTTATCTACAGGTCTGGGAACGAGAAACTCACTCTTGAGTCCTAACCTCAGTGTGGGCAGAAATACCCCAACTCGTGTGACTGTAGGAAAGGCCTTTAATTTCTCTTTCATGTACAAACTCAGTCACTGATGTTTTCCAGGCTCCGGGAGGACTGCTGGTGACTTTCTCCTTGGGGGATGTTTGCAGGGCCTGGAGTCCGCAGTGCCCATTGGGTGGTAGGGGGGAGGCTCCCCAACAGCTGCTTGACCTTTGCTTGGCTTCACCAGTTGGGAGAGTCACACAGAGTTTTCATTTTCTGATGGAAAACAAATTCTATGCAATTTCTGATTGTAAACTTCAAAAATTCAGAGGGAGGAAATAGCCCCAACACCACCACCTTGAATTACATTGTCCTCACATTATTTCTGTTCTGAAAATAAAGATACCTTGGGGAAATGATGAGCTCAGTTCCATGTTTTTGCCATTTGACGAGCATACCAGCATCCTCTTTCAGCCAGGTCAGTTAGCTAGAGCTGCCTTCCTGGGGGCCGAATGGCACTCTGATTATTTCTCTAGAGGATGCCAGTTTTGTCGTAGACTGACCTCTTCTCTCTCATGAATTTGAGTCCTTTTTCCTCTTTAACCATCATATGATGGCAAGCTGTGCTGGACCTAAGTATTTTTTTAAACCTTGCCTCAAGCCTCTTGGAAGAACGTGGATTTGGTGGGAATGGGTACCATAAGGTCCGTTGATCGCAGACCCTCATGGTGCCACCCTGCTCTGACCCATAGCTCCTGCCTTGCTACTGACAAATGGGATCTCCAATCCATCACATTTGGGGCAGGAAGGGTTGCTTTTTTTAAAACAAACTCGTTTTTATGAGCAGGAAATGTTGATCAATAGCAAACTTTTTTTTAATGGATTAGTGAAATAAATGTCCCCATGAATCATTTATTAAGTCTGTTTCTTTCAGTGTGTGGAAAAAGCTAAGACTGACAGCACTAGAGAGTTTCTGTTAGCTGCTGAGACCATCCCACACCTCAGTCCTGCTGGTGAGTGCGTTCAAAGCCAGCTAGTTCTCTTCCTTGTTTTGTCTCCACTTTTATCTGTTGGTTGTCAGCTTTCTTTTCCATTCTGTATTTTCTATCTGACTCTGTATACTGTATGAAGCAGTTTTTTCTTGTCTGTTTACCTTTCTTCAACTGGAATATTTACAATAAAACAGAAACAAACCCTGAGATGTTAGTGATGGGTAAAAACTGTTTGGGTTTGGAAAGTCTGGCTGGGTGTGTCTCATAGTCAGGTACTCAAAAAGCAAATAAAAATATCAACGCACTCTGTGTCTTCCCCTCCACCTGCCCTTCTCTTTCTTTCCCTCTCTCCACCGCTTTCTCCATTCCTCCACCCCTTCAGCTTTTTTTCCACTTCTCGGAAAAGCCTAGGTGGCTTCTTTCAACTTGTACTGGGATTCCGAACCAGCCCCCCAACCCCCTCGCCCCTGGATACACATGTTAATGAAGTTGGGAGGGTTTTGTCTTCCTAAATGCACTTTCACAGAATAGCCATCCATTGATACCCAGGGTAACTCTAGTCAGATACCACCTCAGATTCCATGGGGAGCTTGAAGATTACATCAATTAAAATATAATACTTTGCTTTATTTCTTTTAATTGCCTTGCAGGGCCCCAACCGTCACAAGAGCTCTACCTCAGAACCCAGGTGGGGTGTAAATTGAGCATGTAGATGGCCGAAAATCTTTGGCTTCCTCTAATCCAATGCTCGTAGGAGAATATTCATCCTGGGAACTTGCCAGCCAGCCCTCTTATTGGTTAGGTGAGACTGAAATATCATGATAACCAATCCTCCTGGGCCCACTCTGTGAACATTTATTAGTTTGGGATTCCAAGGAGTTTAGTTTTCTTTCGGAATCCAAGGGGGGCTTCCCCATGGTACGGGAGTCAAATGCGTGCAGCCAAAATGAGCTGGGCATTTCAGACCCAGCAGGTTGGTAGTTGGAGCAAAGCTTGAGAGAACATTTGTGGCCCTCCCACCCGTGGGGTGTGTGCAGCAACGTAAAGCAGTCTGGAAACGATAAGGGAGATTTGATTCCCTGACTGGTTGTCAGCTCTCTGGGGATAAATAACAAAGAGGTCTGTTTGGAAAAATCAAAGGAATTCTTTCAGAAAGATTTTGCTTTAAGCTAGTGCTTTCTATTGGGGCCTTCTCAAAGAGAGAAAATAAACCTTTCTGTGAAAGGTGACATTTTCCCCACCGGCAGCATCCCTCCCATCACCTCAGTAGGGAGCACTCTCCGAGGCTGACAACCTGGTCATCCTACAAGCCTCAGAGATCAGTGAGAACAGGTCTTCAACATCTCTTCTCATGGGAAAGACAAAGTCTCAGGACTGAGGGTGTCAATAGCCCCTTTCAGGGCCAGCGGGCAGCGCTGTCACTACTGGTTGTGCGTTCGCGTCCAAACTTCAGTCATTTCATACTAATTGCTGAATCTGAAGAAGGAATGACACAAGTCTACTGTTACCATTGAACAAGTGGTGATAGAGCTAGTGCTGAGATCAAGCAAGCAAGGCATCGACGAAGGCAAGAGAAGTGGAAACCACCTCTCTGACCAGACACGGCAAGAGCGCTGAGTATCCCACACAGGCATGAAGCAGTCGGCCGTGCACTCTGCCCATCTTCATATCTGCAGCACATACACCCACATATTTCACTGGCTGGGGTTTACCGAAGTGAGCCAGGGAGCGGCATGTTGTGAACAATGCTGAGTCTGAGGACTTGACTCCATTTACAGGGTAGACTGTGTAGAGGCTCGTGGAGGTCAAACGCATAAGTGCAGTGGCCCACCTGGCAGGGAATTATCTACAGAGCCTCACCCACACCACCTCGGCCCAATGTCGTCTTCTCCTTTGACTGCAGCGGAGGGGAACAAACACCAAAGACTGCTCCTCCTGTTGGTGCTTTGTCATAGCTTCATGAGTGACCTTGAGAAGGGATTTCCTCACCTTAGCACCTCATTAGAGTCCATGGGAAATAATGAACAAGTACAGGAAATGAGCTGGTCTCTGGCAAGACAGATTTTACCTGTAAGAGACAGTGAACGTATAGCACAAAATATCAAAGTACTCAAGTTTATGATTTCAAATATAAACCATGTAGAAATTCTGAGGGGCTAAAACTGCTAGATCTTTGAGATAAGCTGAGTGTGAAGAAATGGAACTGTTGGTGCCTTTGGGTTTTTGTTTTTTCTTTTCTTTTTTTTTTTTTTTGATGTCTAAAAACCAAGATTTTGCTTTATCTCCCTTGGCGTGAAATATGGTTAATTCATGTTGATGAATTCAGTGCTCTTCTGACGAGATGACTTGTTGACACCTTGTTTTGCTTTTACTCACAGCATTCCTTTTTAGGGGACTCTGACTTCTCTCTTGTTATGCTTCTTCCTGCTCGCTGGCAACACTGTGCAGAGATTTTCAGGGCTATCACCCTGGGCTTCTTTTAGGTTGGATGAGTGAGATTACCTGCAGAGACAAAAAGCCTAGTCCTAAAAATACAGGAAGATGAACTGGTATGAGCAATAAAATAGTCTGAGGTGGATTATGAGCTCTTAAATAAAAGATCAAACGTCTTAAATTGGGGCGAAGGAGTATGAATACAAAACTGAGAGTGAATACAAAACTGAGTGTGTAACCAATGTGAAAAATTAATGCAGGCCGAAAACCCTGCATTTTTGATGTACAGGAACATTTAGAACCATTTTCCTTTTTGGCCCATTAAGCCCTCTGGTTACCCATAGCAGAAGCAGTCTGCCTGGGAAGTTATTCTACTTGGATTGTTCTGATTAGATTCTTAGTAGCTTTTCCATTAAAAATAACAGAATGTAACTTCCATTTCCACATCATCTGTAATCCTATAGCACCGAGTGGGCATAGGAAAGCAGTTTAAATCACCAGAACTTGGTCAAATGTGAAGGTCAAAGAAGAGAAGTTACAAGTAGGTAAATAGCACAAAGCTATGTTACGAGGAACATAAACGTGTGCTGGGTGCTCAGATGTGACAGGACTTTAAAACCTAGCTTCAAGAGGATCAGATGAAAAATAGTTCTAAACAGAGAGACCTCATTTTTTTATTCCTGCTTTCCCTCTTTTTATAGAAGTTAAATTGGTGTGTGTGTGGTGCGTGCGTGCGTGAGCGTGTGCTCGTGGCTCGTGCAGACCCTCAGGTTACTGTCCGTGCTCCTTACATCCATTTCAGAAGAAAGAAGACGCTCTCCATTATCGCTTCAGCCTTTTTCTGTGCTTCCGGATAACATTGCTGGGGTTAGTATTCAGGCTTTGAGTGGCTTAGTTCTCACTGAGTGGTCTTTGATGCAATTTATTTCTAAGCCAAACATAGATGTAGATGCATGAAGTAAAAGGTGTTTTTTTTTTTTTCTCCATTCCCAGGTGAGTGATAAGACACCTGAGCTGTCTCCTTTGCTCTTTCCCGCAAAGCAAAATTCCTTTAGCATTAAATGGATCTGGTGATAGTGCGATTAAACAGTCACTAAGTACAAGAGCAATGTAGGCTGACTTTCATTTATACTCCAGGCTTATCAATAACTTGTCCATTTTAGGCAGAAAACAATTTTCAGGGAGCCAGAAAATAATACTGGCAAGATCTGAGTGGTTAGGTTGGCCAGTAATATACAGACCCTCAGGTTACTGTCAGTGCTCCTTCGGTCCATTTCAAAAGAAAGAAGACACTCCATGATCACTCCGGCCTTTTCCCCTGTTTCTGGATAACATTGCTGGGGTTACTATCATTGTCTGACCTCTCTGAAAATTGTTTTCTGCCTAAAATGGACAAATTATTGATAAGCATGGAGTATAAATGAAAGTCAGCCTGCACTGCTGACTATTAACGATTCTTTGTTGCAAATAAAGCAGCAGATCTGCTACTTCTTCATTTTCCGAGGGTCGAAGGCCCTGCCTGGTCCAGCCCCTGCTTGGTCCTTCTGTCTTCTGACGCTTTTCTCACTCATCGTCCTTCACATGGCTGCTCTCTGTGTGTCCTGTTTATCCATTGCTTGCCCTCTGTGTCTTTGTTTTAGCAGTTTCCTCCTCCTAGAATGCCCATCTCGTTCATTTCTACGTTGCCAAAGCCAACCCATATTGAAGATCCACCTTAAAAATCATCTCATGTGTGAAGCCTTCAATGACCCTCATCCCCCAAGGGAAGAAGAAAAAAAATCTTGCCTCGTAAACATTCTCAGACTTTCTTTATGGCCCTTCCCACTTTGAATTATAGCTACATTAAATTATATGTACTTGACATGTAGCTTTGCCCCAAATTCCACCCTAGCACAGAAAGTCTCCTAAAGTGGAGAGAAAGTGCCTTTTCCATTACTTGTTCTTTCACAGTGCTGAAGATTCTTTGCACATATTTGGTTTGGTTGCCATGAATGAATGAAGCAAATTCAACTGAGAGCAAATGCATGTAAAAATGCTGCAGGTCTGAAATTGAGTGGCAGGAATATGCTAATACACCCTTGATTTAAAGCAACTTTGCATACAACAACTTAATAATTTATATCAGGCAAAAAGATGACTCCGTTTATTTTACTGAGGATGTACCTAGTGGGGAGCACAGGTTGATAATATTCACAGGTTGGTGGAGAGTTGGTTCTAATCAGCAGGTATGCTTCTTCCAGCTGTCTACATGTCTTTTATAAAGGTTAGAAGAATTCAACCTCCTGACTCCTAGACCAGCTCTGTAATAATCAGTCAGCCTTTTCCCTTCTCTCCTCATTATCTTCAAAAAGTGATTTCTGCTTCAAAATAAAATGACCAAAACTTGGTGTGTGTTCTATTTCAATATAAGCCTGTCAAGGTGGTACTTGCTCAGAACAAATGCGATTTTCTTACCAAAGTAATCAAAATCAAATTTAGGTTCCTCCTTACTGGCCAGCAAAACTGAAAATATCACTTTAAGGAGTGGCTTTAAAAATGTGAGAAATTCGGGCCCTCCCTGGTGGTGCAGCGGGTAAAAGCACAGCGCTAAGAAGCTAAAGCCACTTCAGGATGAGTTCGATCCCCGCTCGGGAGGTGATACCAATGGTGCGGCAGACCTCTCCCGACGGGCCCACTGCTCCCCTCAGCAGTGTAGTTCGCCAGTCGGCCTGCTCTGCTCCCCACTCTGTCTCTGGTGAGTCCTCTCACCGCTCCTGCACTTCTGGCCTGTACCCCAGTTCTGTATACATAAATAAATAAATAAATCTTTTTAAAAATGTGGAAAATTCCTAATGGCTTGAAGGTCAACAAATGATAGCTCTACATG